TCAATTCTTAAATGACTTTCCAAGCATCTTCAAGCCTTGTACCTTGAAAAAAAGTTGTAGTAGACACTTTCAAGTTTATTGTGAAAAATTAATGAGCTCAAGGAGATAAAAATTGACCAAGTTATGATCCATTGAAGTCAAAACATAGAATTCAATGGCTTTTCTAAAGGACTTGTAATCTTTTCCAAACTTAAATGATCTTATTTACAAAATTATCATTTGATCCTTGAAGATAAAATATTAAGGACTCCTTAAGAGAATCATGGCTTTAGAATCACTTCAAAATCTAAAAAATGAGCAAGATATGGTCTTTGGAAGTCAACTAACCATTACTCATAAAATACAACAGTGACTTGTAACCCCTTTCAACTTTTGATGATTTTATTTGCACAATTGGACCTTGTCATGTGAAGATAAGTTGTTGTAGATAATGATAGGAATCCGTAGCAAAAAGAACCACTTCAAAATATTGAAAATTTATGGAATTATGCACTGGTGATCATAGAATCAAGGATTTTTCCAATTAGGTCAAACTTCTTAAATCAAATTTGCATCATTTGAACTTTCCTTGCAAACTAAAGTATGGTGAATCACATTTGACCTTGAAACGATTTTATTTTTGAAGCACACTTAATTATGGAGCTTGTTGTACTCCAAAATTTTCCCTCTCATTTATCAAATAATTTCTCACAAGATCTCCTTTGGTTCAAGACTGCACAAGGGTTGATCAACTCAAGACACCTCGTCAAGTACTAATGACTGAAAATTAGGGTTTGAGATTGCACAAGGACAAATGGATTTTTAATGCACCATATGATTTTCATGGATCATTTTGGACCCTAAATATTGCTCATGCCAAGTTTCAAGTCTTGGATCACATTTTTGCTCAGTCAATTGATTAGCTGACCTAAAATCAGTTATATTGGGAAAAAAGTCAATTGTTGTCAATTTATAGTAAAACTTCATAATTGTTTATTCATATAAACATTATAAGTTCATATATGTCATTTGATCAAATTTGGATCACAATTCCTCAAGAATTTTGATCAGATCATCAAAAGGGCAAAATGCTAAAAATTAGGGTTTTGACCGAGAAGAGGCTATTTCTGATTTTTGACCTAGCAAAGGGTTGATTGGTTTAAGTTATGATCTCAAGGGTTCAAATGCATCATTTTGACCTAATGGCATGGCTCAAAACATTGCTCAAGATCAATTTATTGACAGATGGATTTTCAATCAACTGATCAAAAGTCAACTGTACACTAAAAAGTCAAACTTTGACTTTTTGGTCAAAATAAAATGTCAAAGATCATAATTCATCAAATCATGTCAAAATATAGAACTTGTTCATCAATAAATCAAAAAGTCAAAATTTCTAAACTTAGAAATTTTTCTAAGTGTTGAAAACTTCATATTTTTTCACAACTTTGAGCCAATATTTCACCATGATGCAAAATGATTCAAAGGAAACTTCAAACATGAAAGTTGTAGATCTCAATGTGATCTAAAACATTGTATAACAAAACTTCTCCTAGAAATGCATGAATTTCAAGTTATGATTTTGTGAATACATGTTCATGAAACTTGGAAACTTAGTGAAATTTTGCCCTAGTTTAGGCAAGATTTTGACCTAACTTCATGGCAATTTTTCACATAGTTCCAAGAGGAATTTTCAAAAATGTATAACATATAGGTTGTAAAGGATGTTATAATCTTTCAAAAATGTCTAATAACTCATTGAGATCATGTTTGAGCAAAGAGAATCGAAGACAAGAAGTTGGACATTCATTCTTGAATTATAAGTCATTTCCATGATGAACAAGAATCCAAATCTCAAGCCCATGCTGCATAATATTTGCTTTGCAGGGCTTAAACTTGTGTTTCACTCCATAATTAATGGTTTACATAACTGTTTGAGATATTATCCAATTGATTCGAGCATTATCCAAACCAAATTGCCATTAATGGAAGAAAGTTCATACTTCATTTTCGAAAAGCGGCTTTAATCACAAAGTCCACTCTCCTTGAGCTTTGTAGTTGTTCCTTATGCACACACTAAGTCTACAACCTCAGAAGAAGTGTGTTTAAAGTTCTCAACCACCCTACCTTACCTTGAAATCATATTTGTCCATGTTGCTTCAAAAACAAGTCAAAATCCACAAGCATGTGATTTTGTATTTCTGACTTCTACAAGTCTCCAAACCTTTTCCTATATGTTAAGACACTCTTATGCAACTTAGGACACGATTCTACAAGCTCTCAAACTCCCTCAAACTCCCCAAAACCAGAAACTTCCAGAGACAAGCTCTGACAGTACCGCTGACCAATTAATGCTAAGAAGGCTAACACACTCAGGTGGTACTACGCACGAGAGCATTGGAAACATAAAGGTCAAGTTAACACGCATCAATAATGCATACTCTCTCTTCAAGGCAGTAACGGTCAAAATTGAAGCTATATATATATATATATATATATATATAACCATTTGTTTGAAAGCAAGGTTACTGATCCATGAAAAATATACTGAAGCTCATTATTTTCATTCTTGTAAAATCTTTGTATATAGTGGGTAATTCTTAAATACTGGGATAAAATCTTAGTGATAAATCACAGTTTGCGATATAGCTTATTAGAAGCATTCTGATTCACTACCGTTAAGAGATAATCTTTGTAATTGTTCCTTGAGAGACCAGTTGGGTCAGATTTCTCAATAGGGCTAGGACTAGTTGAGTCTTAGAGGTGTTAGTCACAACAATTTGGTTGTGCATTGTAATTGTTCCTTGAGAGACCAGTTGGGTCATATTTCCCAAGAGGGCTAGGACTAGTTGAGTCTTAGAGGTGTTAGTCACTTGCAGGTGGCTTGTGCATTGTATTGTTAGTCACAACAGTTTGGTTGTGCACTTGTAATAAATTTTGATTATAGTGGATTAAGTCCTCGTTGAGAGAGGCAAAATCACCTTGGCGGGTGGACTGGAGTAGTTTGAGTTTCAAATGAACCAGGATAAAATTACATGTGTCCTTCCATTATTATTGCGTGATAAAAAGGGAAAACTTATTCACCCCCCCCCCCCCCCCTCTAAGTGTTTTCTCACCCTTCACCTACATGTTTGGGACAATGGCATCTACTCCGAGTTGATGACCAATGGGGATTTAATGATTTGAGAGATTTTGCTAGAAATCAATATCGTCAATGGAGGCATCGACGTGAATTGGTCCTAAGGGAGCCGGTCTTGCAAGATGACTTAAAACCAACTCTTCAATATTTGACATGGTACGCACCTGTTTCATCAAATTTGTTTCTGTCTCATGAGAAATATTTGATCAACCCACGTCAAAGAGCTGCATCATACACCCAACAACAACCCCAACATCCAATCCCTCATCAATACCAAACCCAACAACAATGTCAACCCACTCAAACCCAACAACCATACACCACTACATCCAACCAAACATGTCATCACCTCATGCCACACACACAAACACAATACCAAGAGCATGACCCGACCCACCACCAACAATATGCACCATCCACATCCTACCACAACACCCAAGAAACATATGATACACGTCCTTCCTACCATACCATCCAACCTACATACAATCAAACATCACAGCATCGAAGTACCCAACCATCATACAAATTTCATACACCACAAGAACTGTTGCTTCATTTCTAAAATGATTCAACATCCCAATACTATCAACCACCCCACCCACACATATCCCAACCAACAAGACCAAACTTCAACAACATGGGCACTGATCTCTTTGGAAGCACGACACAGTGGGGACAAAATGATCGATGATATGTATGATTCTGATGTACCAGGACCATCACATCAATCACCTCATCATCAAGCGAGTCAGAACTGACCTGAAACACTTTAGAGAATTCAACAGAGAGGAGTGAGACAAGGTGTGAGGCAAAGGAGGGGCCATTTATGTCATACTGGGACCCGCTTAGGTTGAGGGAACATTCGAAAAAATATGTATCTATGTATTGTGTAGTTTAAAATATTAATAGAAAATATTTTTAATTACTTTTATTTTTATTTAAAAAAAATTTAATAGATACAACTGTCAAACCACTCAAGGTGACATCTCCTCTTTAACTTTGCATGCATGCGCCACAATGCATGGTATTAAATAGGAGGACAAGCCATGCAATGTGGAACCTCCTCTCTATTTTCCGTGCATGCGTGACACAGAGTGACGCCTCTTCTGTATGTCGATTTTTTTTAATTTAAAAAGTCATTACTTTAATAAATTTTTTCAAAATATGATTATTTGAGTATTTTTTGAAAAAAATTTTAAAAAAAATTCCTTTGACGAATCCTCATAACTCCCTTTAGGTATGTGCAAGTTGACATCATTAACGTTACTAGGTAAAATCCAAGTCATCAATGTCATATTCCATTTGCTCTCCAAATGATCCTAGATCCAAATGAATTTGGCCATGTTCGTCAATACAAGAGATATTATTGTTCTCTTGAGATTGGAGATACTCTCGTTGCTTTAAAAGCTCCATTAGACCTTCATAGTAGTGTCTAAGAAAAACATTCACTAGTTTATAAATTGTTGTTGTTTCGGATAAACTTTACAAATTTTTATAAAAAGGAGACACGTGGAATTTTAAATGAAGATCCTGTTTTTTTTCGAAATTGGTTAAGTATGAAAATATTTAAATATGAAAGTTGTTTTTATTTATTTTTGTATTCTCTACTGTTATAATTCAAATGAAATGTGACACAAATAATTAAAGATAATATTTGATTGAAAAAGTTTGTTTCTAAACAACTATGTTTGATAAAAATAGAAAACAAAATATTGTTTATGACGATGATGTGAGAAATGTTGATTGATTGATTGAGACCTAGTCAAATATTCCTCAAAATATTGTTATATTTTGCTTTATAAATACATTGTAACATCTCTTGGTATTATAGTATAGTAAAAAATTCATCTTCCTAATATCCTCCTTCAAATTTCTTAAAATGGCAGAAACAATGTTTATTGAGAAAACTCTTGTTTTTCCGGCAATAAGAAGAACAACAAGAACTTGCCTTCCTCTCACATTTCTTGACTTGCCTTTTGCAGGTCCAAAATATGTTGAACGCCAATTCTTTTATAACTTTCCTCATTCAACCAATTATTTTATCCAAACAACACTTCCATCTCTCAAACACTCTCTTTCTCTTACACTTCAATATTTCTTCCCCCTTGTTGGAAATCTCCATTGTTCTCCACCACCCCACAAACCTTTTATTCTTTGCACCCAAAATGATGCTTTATCTTTTACCGTCATTGAGTCCTCAGTTGATTTCAACAATCTCTCAACCAATCACCACCCAAAAAGGCTCAAAGATTTTAGTCATCTTGTTCCAAAATTAACACAAAAAATAGACCTTGATGACAATGACACATTAATATTTTCATTATTGGCTTTGCAAGTATCTGTTTTCCCCAACCATGGTCTTTGTATTGCCATCACATATTGCCATGTGATGGATGATTATTTTTGCAATTATTTTATGAAATTTTGGTCTTTTATCCATAAAAAAGGTGAACTTGTTGACATGAAGTCACTACCTTGTTTTGACAGACAAGTCTTGAGAGATCCAAAAGGGCTAGAGGATATTCTATTAAAAGGATATTTTGAACAGTGGAAAATGTGGAAGAATAGATTCCTCATTCAAAGTCAAACTACAGAAGAAGAACATCAAGACTATGTTAAGACAACTATTGTTTTTACAAAAGAAGAAATTGAGGAGATGAAAATATGGATACTTAATAAGTGGAAGGCCGATTATCATGATATTAAAGCACCAAAATTTATATCTAAATTTGTTATAATATGTGGTTTTGTTTGGTCCAATATAGTTAAAACAATAAATAGAAATAACGACGATAAAGAAGATGAAAAAGATGAGTATTTTTGTTTCGTAGGTGATTGCAGAGAAAGACTAGGGTATCCAATACCAGAGGGTTATTTCGGGAATTGTTTAACTTTATGTGTTGCAACTGTGAAGAGAAAGGATATAAAAGGAGAATATGGTTTTTTGAATGCTGCTAAAGCCATTCAAAATGCAATAACAGAGATGAAAAATGATCCATTGAAAAATGCAGAAGAATGGGATGTTATGTTTAAAAAGGTTTTTATGTCTGGAGCTCATTTGTTGGTAAGTGGATCTCCTAAGTTTAATGTTTATGAAACAAATTTTGGATTTGGAAATCCTAGTAAAGTTGAGATGATGATGAATTCAACAAAGGATATGTCTCTTGCTGAAAGTAGAGACAAAAAAGGGGGACTTGAGGTTGGGTTGGCATTTAAAACAGAAGAATTACAAGATTTATATTTTTTCATTGAACAAGGACTTGAAGCTTTGAAATTCTAAAAAAATATACTATCTTTGTGCTTTCAAACACTATTGATTGTTATATTAGGTATCTCTATTATGAGATATTTGAGCCTTTAATTGACATGTTTTGAGATACTTAACCAATATTTGTTCTTTTTATTTAATAATATCAGTTATCATGATGTGTTGTAAGAATTTGTTTTTGACATTTTTTTCCATATTAAATGTTTGGTTTAAAAGCATATAACTGTTCAAAGATAGAAATGTATTGCTGCTATTATTTAAAAATCATTCCAAGTCTATCTAAAATAGTGTAATATTAGATAGAAAATATAATAGTCTAACAATTACGTTTGAATTATGGATTTTAGTTAAAACCATTTGATCTGTATGTAATAATAAAAAAGTTATTAAGACAAATGCAAAATATTTCATGTGGGACTTTTAAAGTATATTTTAAATAAAATTTTGATATTTAATATTTTTCCTTCACCTACACAAGAAATAGATTAAGAGATACATCTTTAATTAGACTTGTGATTTAAGAAATAGATTTAAATTTTGATATTTACTATTTTCCCGCCACCTACACAAGAAAAAAAATTAAAATTTTGATGTTTAATATTTTTCCGTCATCTCCTCATGAAGTGTTCTTTAACGTTTATTCTGTATTCCTATATAAAAAAAAATTGTAAAACTTGAAGAAACTACAACACTGCGCCTTAAGACACAAAGAGTCGTTACTCAGTAAAATCTATTTCATAAGCTTAACTTAGAACTTCTTACCAATTGTGTATTTTTAGAAGTTTTTAAGTTTTAGAGTCTTTTTGTGTTGTATTTTGTATACACCTATAATTGTATATCAAGTGTAATTTTGAAACAATCATTAATCTGTAAGATAGGTTACTAGAAGTCTCTTATTGTTGTTTAAGCATCTAAAGTCTCTTGCTTGTATGCTTGAGCATTGAAGTTTCTTGCTTGTGTGATTGAGCATTGAAGTTTATTACTTGTGTGTTTAGTATTTGGAAGTTTGTTGCTTATGTGGTTGAGCATTTATAATCATAAGTGATTATAATGAAACTCCTTTTGAAGTGCAAGGGGACTGGACTACTCCTGATTTATGGGAGAAACCAGGATAATTGCTTGTGCCTCTCTTTCTCTCTTCATTAACTTTGAACCTTACTCTGCTTCAATCATCAGACTCTTAAACAAATTCTAACCTTGTGTTCAGAATCTGATAAGAGCTTTTAAGAGAAAAAGAAGAAAAAATTAACACAATTTAACCCCTCTGTAGCGGCATAAATATTGAGACTAAGTCATTGGATTGACTCACCTTGCAAAAATCAATGAAGTCGCCACCGTATTTTTATTTTATCCAAAGGACTAGGAAAAGAGCGAATAAAACCTAAAGTAAAAAGAGAGAATCCAGATACGGGGGTTGGTTATGTAAAAGGAAGGTATTAGCATTCTAAACATCTATGGTACTCCGTAGGAACCTCTTTGAAAATATGTGTATTTTGGCTATAAAAGGTGTATACAAAAATAGATGGTGCAGATGAGAAAAAAAGTATTTTTTTTATAATTTTTGCACCTGCCGCGGTTGTGAACCTTTAGTGCCTACTGTCACCTTCCGTGCAATAGGGGATCAGGGTACTCGTAGTTCACCTCAAAAATTTTAAAACACATGTGTGTTGGTTAATTTTAAGAAGAAAATACGTCATTATCATATCTGAGTGGTAAACATACTTACTACACACAATTATGAGAAAGGAGCATTTGCATCATCTCAAAGTGGAGAACATTACTTGAATTTTAAAATTCATAAGACATCACTCAACACCAAAGTGGTAAATGGTTCACTTCACTATATATTGTAGAAGTATAGTAGCTTGCATCATTACAAGATCACCAAGAGTCTAATATTTTGAGAAAAGGTTTTTAAAATAAAAAGTCAAACTGGCAAAAATAGTTTGGGTGAGGTTAATTGTAACGCCCGATAATTTAATTAATTATTTAATTAAATTATTTTCGAATTATTTGTTGAAATGTGTGAGATGTTTCTATGTGTTGCTAAGTTGTTATTTAGTTGATTATTTTAGTTGATTAATAATATTAGTAATAATATTAGAATTGTAGAGTAATAATAATATTAGAATAATATAAAATTAAGTTGTTGTGCTTAGTTATATGGTGGTACGTAGTAAGGTGGGGGTGTATAAGTTAGACCCAAATGTGATTAATGAAATAAGGTTAAGTTGATATAAGAATTAGGTTAATTAGAAAGATTAAGAAAGTCTTGGAATAGTAACGTAGGAAGTGGCAGAGAAGAGGAACGAGAAAAATGGTAAAGCTAGGTTAGATCGGAAAATTATAGAGCGACCTTCAATCCGAGGTAAGAGTGAGGTTCTGACTCTATAATGGGAATCGTGATGCATATTATGTAGGAATTAGGTTGGTGTAATATTGTTGTGCGTATGTTGTTGTTGTTGCTGTTTCTGAAATTGGTTGTTATCATGTTGTGGATGTTCCTGAATTGTTTACAGAATTAACTATCTATTGTTGGAAATCACAATATTACTGATATAGTCGTTATGTTGTTATGTCGATGTAATATTGCGTTGTATCATGTGTTGTGAAAATACTGTTAATTGAAGGAAGATTTGGAGAATTCTGTGTTGGAATCAGTAAGAGTGTGAAGAAACTGTGTGAGAAACACTTTGTTCCGAGGGACACACAAGCATGCCGACCGGCATGGTTTGGAGAGGAGTGTGTCGAGCGGCACAACTCCATGACGAGCGGCATGACCTTTTAGCTTTATGCCGAGGGGCACAGTTGGGTGACGAGGGGCACACCCATAAACCTCTATTTTCTTCTGTTTGTTAGGCCTATTTCCAGTGCCTGTTACTTTATTAATTGGTTACTAATTTTTATCACAAAATTAATGAATTATGGGTAGTAGAGATTAAGTAATCAATACTTCTTATGTTCTTAGCATGTTAGTCCACAGAAGAATAATTAAATAACTACAAAGTGTATATTGACATATATAGCAAGTAGTGATGAATTTTGTTGTGTTGCTTGTATGGATTGGCTAAAACCAAGTTGTAGGCTATTAACAGTAAAACAATAGCAAAGATAATTCATGGTAGTAGGAGATAATTCATAGTAGTAAGATGTAATTGTAGGAACCTTATCGAAAAACTATTAACAGTATTATAGCATAGCATATTTAGCAGGAATAAGTTCACAGTAGGAATTAATTGTGAAATAGTAACAAAAGTCTATTAACAATAAAATAACAGTAGATAATTAATTAGTAGTACTAGCAGTAGTAGAAATTGTTCATATAAGTACTGGCTTATATAATAGTTCTAGTAGGTTAATATTAGAGGAACCGTCTCAGAACGTCGAATAGCTGAATATAGACGTATAACTTAATAATTATGTAGTTTTATTGAAATGGGTTCGATTGTATTTGTGAATTTTACTATGTTGTTATAATGTCATTATTATTGACGATACGAAGTTGCAGGATATACTGATGTTGTTGAAATGCCTCTAATTCTTGGCAGATAAGCTGTAGGCTTGTGGCCAAAGTTGAATTATGTTGAGTTGATGTTGAATTGTTGTTGATGTTATAGGCTTATTACCAACATTGATTTATGTTGAGTTGTTGTTTGTTGTTGTTGTTACATTCATGTTGTGTCGCATACATCGAATATCAAGGTGAAGCTGATGCTCGTTAAGTTGGAATGGATTGGCAAAATATTAAGTTGAAGGCTTATGCCTTGTTGATGCCTCTATTTATTGGTAGATTACTAAGTTGGGAGTTTTGCTCCGTTTGTACCACATGCATTTGCATTGTAACTAGTCGCATTCCATATTGCATCTTGAGTTGCTGTAATGATGAATTAGTTGTGATATTATGTTGATGACTTGGTTGTAATGGACGTCGTTTAAAAGCTATGAAGCAGTGAAGTTTTATGATCTAGTTCTAACGTATTATTTATCATACATCTGATTATATTGTTTGATATCTCACCCCTTCTGTTTGAATGTTACACCTATGTTGGTAACGTGCAGGTAATCCAGAGTGAATGTTATTTACCGTCATTAGTTCGAGTCAGTGTCGTCGCTCAAATATGTAACACTCAGGGGGGTGAACTCTTGTTTCTTTATCGTTGTTATTACTTTAGTTGTTGAATTTTAAGTTGATTTTGTTAAGTACTTGTTGTTTTGAAGTTGTTTTCAGTTGGACAAAGCTGTTATGTCATTTGAGGTGAAAATTGTGATTCCGCTGCTTAAGTAATAAAGTTGTTTCATTTTAAAGACTAAAATTGTTGTTATCTGTTCATCCGATGATTTAAGTGTTATGTATCTGTTTTATATGCGATTAAATTTCGTTGTTATAAGTTGAAAGTGTAGCATCCTATTTATATGTCAAAATTTTATAACTCTGATTTTATTAATATTCAAAGGGTAGAATTGGGGTGTTACATTGATGGCTTTTAGTCTTGAAAAAATATGTCAAAGTATGATTAAATTGATTAAAGGTTTGATTAAGAAAATATTTTGAAAAAGTATGGACATAAGTCCAAGTTTATTATGAAAGCGGTTCAAGTTTGAAAAACAAGAAGAGTTTTGAAAATGAGGGAGAAGAATTTTGAAATTAAAGAAAATGAGAAGAGATGAAGGAACTATCCTATGTACACAAAGTAAAATCCAAGGTAAAGAATGGTCTAACCAACAAGAAGCCAACACTTGACATAAAGAAGTCAAAATAGAATTATCATCCTTTGGATGAAAAACCAAGCAAGCATAATACTAAACCTCAGATGAATACCAAGCTTCAGATGAATTAAGAGCCAAGCAAAATCTTCAAAAAAACTGGCCATTGTAACAACTATATACATAGGAATTCCCAATCACAGATAAAGCCTGAAAATCAGAATAACCTACACAAAAAAAATTCAAACCAGTGCCTTGGAGTAAACCCCAAGGACTTCAGACAGAATCACAACAGGATACCAAGGTCT